GTTTTGATGACGGAGTCATGAATAATATCTCTTCACAGTCGTATCTGCTCCCTTGGCTTCGTTTTTCTGAGGTGATTAACAGTTTTAGGAACTGAGAGAGAGTGAGGAAAAAAGAGAAATCCCCAAAAGGCTGAATATTTTGTTTTCTCTCTAACAAGTTTTCTTTCCTGTTAGAGACAGATAAGGTTTTCTTTGCATAAGAAATAAACTTGGCTATCTGCTTCTTAAGATCACCTGAATTTACCATGATCCTCTGCTACGATCAAAGGCTTGGAGGTACTGGGGCTGAATGGAAGCTGACAAGCTAGACCATTTAGGACCCTGACGAAAACGGTACATCTGCATCATTTCAGTCTTTTAATAAGTTTTCAGACTGCTTATAAGTAATTTGCCTATGGCTTAAAATAGAATAAAGCAGGATAATTGGGGGGGGGAGTCTTAACCATTCCGAGTATCATAAAACTACCAGCCTCCTGCGTCGGTAGTCTGAAGCATACTATGGTAATTATTTAGATTGCAAAGAATTGCTTCCCTGAAGAATTTCTGTAGTCCATAAAACCTTGTGTTTTTTCTGCTTCCAATGAGATTGTAATCCCACTTCCTAAATTTGTTTGATGGGGCCCCTCTTGAGTCTCTCTCCACCCCCCCACCGCCCAATTATCTTTGCAAAGAGACAGATAGTATCAATGTGTTATCAATCTACCGCAGGCCTGGTGCTTAGATACAGAGTGAGTGAGTCATCAGTGGGAGAAGGGAGGATTCAGGTCAGTCCTGCTAAATTGTAAGAATGTGGCCATAACCTACAGAGAGAACTCTCTGCCCTACTTAGGGACTACAGTGGGAAGAACTGACAAAGTCTTGCAGATACCAATATTTTATTGCTGTGTTTGTTTAACCTCTTGAGCACTACGTAATAATGCATTGTTGTGCACTCCTTCCTTCTCTGAATGGCAGAATTTTTCAGAGACGGTGCTCTCTGGGTCTGGCTTCCTTTGGATCAGAGGGCATGGAGCACTGTTGTGATATTTGCTTTATTTACAAATATGTGGGTAGACCATAATGTTAGGCATGGGAAACCTCAAGCCCAGGATGGAGATTGTGGTATCTCAGCGAGCATTTGAATTTTAAATATCCTGATTATTTCTACTTTTAGTTAAGTATTTTTATTGATTTACCGGTACTTGACTGGGAGGGGGCAACTGCCCCTCCCTGCCCCCCTGGCTACACCCATGGAAGAAACTAGCCCACTGTACACAGGCAAAACTCACATTCATCGCTCTGTCCACCTTTGCCTCTGGCTCTGTCTACTGATGGCATGTGGGCCTCAGAAGGATGACCTTAACCATGGTAGAAAGCTTCTTCAGAATACTTTCATTGATTAGTCTATTTCTTCTCTTTCCCTCAAGCCCTTATTCTTCTGTTAGGTTCTTTTTTTAGTCCATTCCTGACTCGCACTCTTCCTTCAGTTCCCTTGTCCCCTGAGATTCCTGTACCTTAGTGTGTGGTGTTGTGGTTAGACTGTTGGATTAGCACCAGGTTCAACTCCTCACTCAACTATGAAGATCAGTGAGTGATTATCTGCCAATTGTCCCTTTTGAGGTTTGAATCCGAACCACATTTCTCTTCCCCTTCCCTCACAGAAGGAGGCCTGCAAATTGTTTCAATCTTGAAGCAACTGAACTGTTAAGTTGTGGGTGAACATATCAGATGACACAGCAATTCTTCAAACAGCTCTTGTTTATTCACAGGCCAGGACAGAACTGAACTGAAGGGCTCAGTCAGCCTGCTTATATAGAGCTCCAGTACAACGTAACTGTAACAACTTTCTAAAACTATCCAATCACTGAATGTCACTTTCGATCCTTCATTTGCATAACTATCTACAGTATCCCCCTGCTGGCCCAGGGTGAGAACTTCAGTACATAACATGAACGTCACCACATCAGTTCAGCCAGCTTCAGAGGCTATATCACTACAAGCACAATGCAACAGAGACAGATATTCCCATAAAAAGAAGAAAGCTAGGTAGGAATCAATGTTTATGCAAAATGTAGGGCATGTTCTCAAGCTTGCTCTGCTGAGGCATGTTTGAGAACTTCCCTGGATTATACACACAGCTGAGAAAATGTGTTTCCTTTTTGTCATACTCTGGTACTGAGGTAACATATAAAATAGATAAAAAAATTAAAAATTTGTCCAGTAGCACCTTAGAGACCAGCTAAGATTGTTCTGGGTATAAGCTTTCGTGTGCATGCACACTTCTTCAGATAAGGTGCTACTGGACAAATTTTTATTTATTTTATTTATTTTGACTGCGTCAGACCAACACGGCTACCTACCTGAATATAAAATAGATATTTTTTTTAAGTAACTGATTCAATAAAGCTCTCAAATTATTCTATTACTTTTATGCCCCCCCTTGATGCGTGACTTTATCTCATGTAAGATGGTATGAGTTTGACTATTTACTAATGTATTCAAATATATGCAATGAAAATGCATTTAGAGTGCAATTAGTGTGCCATTTCTGCCCATTTCAAATGCCAGTGTAATTAAGGTGCATAGACAATGTAATCTGTTAACTCTGTATAATTTCCTGTGCCTTTTTGGTTCAGTTTGCCCACCTGTGTGAAACTTTCAGTTACCATTATTACCAATCATTGGTTAATTGCAACATTTATTGCTCAAACCAGAGCCCCTGCAGACCAAATTTTAGTGCACGAAACTCAAGCTGTAAAATTAGTAAGTGCTTTTTGTTACATAAAAGTTCTCCGACTACGACTGATTGTTTATTAGAAGCATACTCTGCAAAGCACTTAGGAAAGGAGAACCATTGTTTTCAGTTTCAGGGCCCAGATGAGGTATATTTCTAAGATGTCATTTATACTTAGAAGAGCGCCTTGCCAATGCCAACCATCTCAGACCCTACAATCAGGAGGTGAGGCTAGGTTGATGGTGCTGCCACTGGGAGTTACCGGTAGGCACAGTTCCATAATAGGGCCTTTTCAGGGGTGGCTCCCTGGTTGTGGAATGCCCTCCATAGTGAAATACACCTATCCCTATCATTACTCACTTTCAGATGGGATGTGAAAACATTCCTGGCTGCCCAGGCATTGGGTGGCCGGAAAATACTGCTGCTGGCAATCTCGAGATCAGTGGGTGGGAGTATATATTTAACTGTAACTGCTTTTAGATGTTTTTAATTGAATCGTTTAATCTGTTTTAGAACGTTCTTGCTTTGTGGTGGTTGTTTTTTAATTGTATATCTGTTAGTTTCCCAGGGATTCTTGGGGAAGAAGGGTGGCATGTAAATTCAATCAATCAATCAATCAATCAATCAATCAGTGTAGAAAAGTTGTACAGCACAGGCTCCAAGATAACTCACCTCTTTAGTTCTAAAATAATTAAAATAATTAAAAAATAATTTAAAAAACACTACGGAGTGATACAGTAGCTGTTTAAAAACTTGCTTTTTGGCACTTGTAAGCATGTGGGAATATAGTCAGATGGTTGGCATTGGCCAGATCTTTCTTTGCCATCCAGTGGACCAGCAGACGTCAAAATGGGCCCGGCAGATACTGCACAAAACAGGACTGAACTCCCCATGCATCAGCCGATGTGCAGGGAATTTTTTGTCGGATTTCTAGCTGACACTTGGGGAATCTTGCTTTCTGCAGCTGCATCTCCACCTGCCCCACACTTGGCGTCACATTTTATGTCAGATGTGGGGCAGGTGGGTGGAGTTTCTGAAAAAGGCCTCATAGACCAAATGGAGAATCCCAGTAGTCCATGTGTGGCCCTGAGGCAAGAGGTTTCCCATCCCTGGACTAGATTACGATATCCTTAGTTCTACTTGAGATGTCATTAGAGGAAGGCATTACATGCTCCTGCCTGCTTTTAAAGCCGCCTCTTTTCAAAGGACACTCCTGCATTTAGGAAAAACAGAAATCTACTGGGATTTTGTGTGTCTGTGTGTGTGCAGATGGTAATAAGTGTGAGTTAGCATTTGTAAGCTGACAAGCACATATGGTTTTTACATATCAATTAAAGCCGTTGGCTAGTCATTTTAAATTTAATTACTGATTCATCCGTGTAGTTTCAAATAGGCATTTACACTCAGCCTGACAGAATTTTATAGGCAGGGCCAAGACTGAACTGTGTGCTTCCTTCACCACCAGTTGCAGTCAATAACATGTCCTTGGCATTGAACATCTGCACACGTCTCAGCAGTGTGTGGGCAGTTCATCCGGCCTATTCCTGATGCAAAAGGCAGACACGTAACATGTTTGGTGTGTATGAGAGAGTACAATGATGATTTCATTTTAAAGGGCTGTGAGCTGGTGGGCTGGGAATGACAGCCACCGTTTATGTCCACCAACGCAGGAAACACATGTCGATTCATGCATGTGTTCATCTGTCTGTCATGCTGTCTCATTGCAGTGTGATGTTCAAGGCAATGATGATTCTGCATACGGCCTTTTGCACTCCTTGAGTATTTCATAATATATTTCACGAACTTAAGGCTATTGGGAAACTGCTAACTGCATGCTACAAAGGTTTCGCTGCCCCCACAACTGTTGAATCCCAAAGCATACAGAGTTCTATGTTAGCTGCAGGTAATCAGAGTTGCGTAGAATATGCTTAGGGAACCAACCTAACCAGTTAGTCATTATGACATCAATAAGACCCTGCTTGATCAGACAAAAGCTCCATCTCGTTCAGCCACTTGCTTTCCACAGTTGCAAATCAGGTGCCTTCGGGAACCCCATAAGGAAGACATGAAGGCAAAAGTCCTCTGCTTCTCAGCAACTGGTTTTCATAGAATCATAGAATTATACAACCCTGAGGATCATCTAGTCTAGACTTCCTCAAACTCGGCCCTCCAGAAGTTTTGAGACTACAATTCCCATCATCCCTGACCATGGGATTTGTAGGCCAAAAACATCTGGAGTTTGAGGAAGCCTGATCTAGTCCAACTCCCTGCAATGCAGGAATATGCAGCCATCCCACAGGGGGGTTGAACCTGCAACCTTGGCGTTATCAGCACCATGCCCTAACCAGCTTTCATAAGACAGAGATGGAGCCTCTCTCATAATTGGTCCAAAATCCAATCTGCCTCTCAGAGGCTAGTTTCTAGTGGTCTCAGATTCATCAGCAGATGAGGCTTCACTTGCAGGCTTGGTCTCATTGAATCCATCCAACCAAGTGACTAAAGATGGTCTTGCATTCCTTGAGATCATATTTTCTGGGAGGAACAGCTCTAAAACCTCAGGGTTACAATTTAAAGGTTTCAGCTTACAATGGTTTCTATCCAATGTTAATCACACTTGGAGTAGATTCAATGAATCAACACGCCTAACTTAGGTCCAGTAATTCGAATGGGCCTACTCTGGAGACAACCCTTGGATGCTGTACCGGCAGGTAAAATAGAACTAGTGAAGTCAGGTTGACTTTATTGATTTGATTTCTAAGTCGCAGTATGTGATTGCTGCATGGGAGGTGGTGTGGGGGAACAGCAGGAAGAAGGGAAAATAAGCCAAAATTTTCTCTTTTGCTTCTTCCAGCAAGAACTTCTGCTGGATCACAGCCCTTTCTGTGGAAGTGCAATTCTGAACCCATCTCTGAAAAGACAGGTGTAAATGATGAATTGTACACAAAGCTGGTGTGTTTTGTTTTTTTTTTAAAAAAAACAGTAGTCACAGAAAAACACAGCATATATTTTATATAATTTCAAATTGCTTATATAATTGTAGGTCTACTGCATGCAAATATATTTTAGGTTTCTAGGATTGAGTAATTTGATTTAGGACTGCAGTGTTGTTTAGCAAATATATATATTGTGATCAACATGCCATTATTTGTATCTATTTAAAGATGAATACAACTGACAACTGACAGTTGTAGGGGGATAAAAGAAGCTAAGAAAGCTATAAGGCTCACACATGCTTTTTTGTTCCTTATAGCTGCAGAACTGAAATCAAATATATCTTATTTCCCAGCAGAGTATCATTTGGAGCCCACTGCTGTTTGAAATATTAAGATCCTTACCAGATTGGTGTTGCACATTATCTTTAGCATTACATCCAAAGCGCCGATACCGTATGACGGACTCTCCATAATCCCCAAAGAGGATTTCTAAGCATATCTCCTTTATAACTGATTCAGCCTTAACAACAGCACTGATAATGCTATGAAACATCTCTACTAAAATAATTCCTTGTGAACTTTGTAGGCATTCTTTTCTACTTCGCCTCTGAAACATTAAATACAAACTAATATCTGGAGCTGAGCAGGAGCAGCGGGATCCATTCATTCCAAGCTGCTCCATCTTGAGAGCTCAGAGGACTCATATTCAAAGCCTGTTCAGTCTCCACATACAAGAATGTGAAGTCCTGTCTCTGAAATGTAGTGTGTATATTTGGTCCTTTTCCTTTACAAGTTGTTTGCAGGCCCGTGTAAAACCTGAATGTACACAACAGACACAACTCAAGCTGTATCCGTAACTAGTGAGGCCTCCTGCACTTGGTAAGGTGCAATGTTGCATGAGAAATCCTGTACCATGTACTTCTGTACTTTTCCTTGTGACCCAGAATCCTGGGAACTATAGATTGTGAAGGGTGTGAAGAATTGTTAGGAAACCCCAATTCCCCTCACAGAGCTGCATTTCCCAGATTTCCCTGAGAAGAGGGACTGACTGTTAAACCACTCTAGGAATTGTAGCACTGTGAAGGGAATAGGGGCCTAACATTGATCTCACTCAATACTGTCCAGATGTTTTGGATTACAACTTCCATCATCACAGACCATTGGCCATGCTGATGGGAGGTGTATTCAATAGCATCAGTTTGAGGGCATCAGGTTGGGGAAGGCTGCTCTAAATTGCTGTATTAAATAGTAAGTGTTGGGTATTGGTGATGTGAGTTTTGATGAGCAAGAGGACTGCCTCGTCTCATGCTTGCAGCATTTTGATGAACTCTAAGCTAGCCATGTTTTCAAGTGGCATTTGCTGGCAAAATGAACTTTCCTACTCCTCCCTTCTCCAGTGTCAGGTAGCAATGCCCACCCATTTTGTGTAACTATTGACCTTTTGGTTTTATTTCATTTTAAAGACTTCCTCGGGGGCTGCGTACCCTCCTCCTCCTGTGCTGGAGGACACATCTAGGCAGGTTTCTGACAGGAAGAGGCAGGGGGCACCTGCAGGATAGCTCCTTACGGCAAGTTGCTTTCCTCTGCATCATTCTGCCCCACCATTTATTATGTGCAGCAGACAGGATACCGTGCTGCTATCATTATTGAAAATGGATATGGCTGGCATGATTTGACTGATCATGTGAAGATGCCCTGCAACCTGTGCCTAATTGCAGCCAGCAGTCAGTGATTCTGCCCACAGTCACCCTCTGCATAAACAATGATCAATCCAGGTTTTCTATGTGAGCATGCCGCTGTTCAAAGTGCAAGAGAAAAGCTGGGAACCCAAGGTCACTTCCTTTGCAGCTTGCCCAGTGCCCCCACCCCACGCTCTTTCTCTCTATCTCCATCCCTTTCCTTGGTAAGAAGGCTATATTTTTAGTATCACATGTATACATCAAAAAAGGGGCAGGTGCAACAAATAAAACAAATTGGTTTTCAGGGAGAAAAATACACTTCATTTATTCTCTTGGTAATTGCATTTTTATTCCCTTATTAGTTTTCTCACTTGAAGTTTTAATGGATCCATTTTCCTGTTTTGGTCACTGCAGATGAATAGTTTTGGGGGAAATGATTGAACCCAGCAGTAAGGTGGCTCATTCAGTTCCTACACTTAACTGGAAGAAATGTACCCACCAGCTATCAATTGGTTCTTTCATGTTTGCATATTAATCTCTCCACTTTCTACCTTAGCTTTGACAAAGGCTCTTCATCAGCGTAATCCTCACAAAATGGTGGTACCATCTGCCTAAGATTGTGTTTATCATTGTGCCAGTTCTTTACTTCCCTCAAAAAGATACTCTTTTCAGTAAAACTCAGTCAAATAGATATTGATTCTATTATATATTCTGAAGCAGATCTCAGTCTATTAAGGCATATTAACGTTTGGTATGCAAGGATCTGGCTTCCTATGTACAATGTGCAACGGAGCAGAATGACATATAGATTTTATTGGCATAGACATAAGATGTCTACATTATTCATGAGTATTGATGCCTCAGGTTACTCCAAATGAATGCCAGGAAAAAACAACAACAAAACGTGTCTGAAACAGTAGCATCTGCTGTTGCACTCCAACCTGTTCTTATAGTGACTAGAAGGCTGCCTTATGCGAGTACTATGGGCCTCATTAGTTTAATTCAAAAGATGATGGTATACAGTTGACTGTTAATGTTTTTTTTTTATGGTGTACATTCATGTGTGCCTTTATTCAAAATTGGTATGCATGAAAAACAGAATACTCTAGTTGTAGGGTGCAGAGGAGGTCTTCATCTGGGGCATTCATAAGCCAGGATCCAGTCCTATACTTCTTCTACCATCAGCTACAAGCCTTGAAGAGTCAACTCTGTGCTCCAGCACCACCAACTAGATGGCTCAGTGCAGTGCAAACACGATGGAGCCGCACCAATACTCTTATACCACTGAACCTGCGTCACATGGAGCTCTGTGTCTCACCCCTCTTCCTCCTCTCAAGAACGGGCAGCGATGCTCAGCAGCATTGGGAAGGCAGGTGAGTGATGCTGCCTTGCCTGCCCTGCCTCTGAGCATAAGCTCAGTCCAGGAGTTTGTTGTCACGTGAAAATTGACATTGGGTTTCCCCTCAAGCTTTCTTTAGTTCAGTAACCTAATTTAAAAGGGGTTTGTGGAGACTTTTGTTATTGCTATTGTTAAACTGTTTTGCAAACTGCTTAGGGTTGGGTTATTTTTAAAAGCGATGTATAAATTTTATTAAACAAACAAAAACAAATGGGTATCAGACCTTGCTGATATTCTGCAAATTGCCCAGAGATCTACAAGTAGATCCCAATCTGCTTTCTACCCACCCCTGGCCTATGCTGTTGGATGCCCTAAGAGATATGGGTCACTGTTTAGAGCGATAGGCCTATGGAGACACAGCTCATTCAGCATCATGGTGGTGTGTTGAATTTAGAGCAGCCCTGGCGGGAGTTGAGGCTGTGTTGGTCTCTTAGAAAAGGATTCTCAGCACCCTACTCTGCTTGCCCTGAGTATAGGAATTCAAACCCTCTCCATTGGTTGCCAACACCAATTTCATGCCCCATTGCAAAAGATCAGTTGTCGATTACTGCTGTTACTTTACATTGTTGCTCCCACTATTATTCAGGGCTAAAACGTTAAATTTAAGGCTTGGCAGGGCAGTGATTTGAAGTCCTTGTTACTTTCTGTTTCATCTGACATTTGATTTTGTTAATTGATATGCATGGAAGAGACAAATGAGCATTAAGCAAGTGAATTGGTGCTTATTATTAGCATGTCAAACTTTAGCTCATCCAGCCCTGTTGTTTCTGTCATTGAATTTCTTGCAGTTTGATGAGGTGCATTGATTTTCTTGAAATGAGAGATTTAATGAAGCTGGTCTTGACTGTGCCTCCTAACTAGTGAAGCACTCTGGCCAAATCAGGAAGATAAAATTGGTCCTCCACTTCATATTTAATAAATATATCCTTGTTGCTTGCTGAGACTTGGCACTACGGTGTTAAGGATCTCTCCATCAGTGTCCTAAGATTACGGTACAGCCCTGGCTGACTTTCCACACCAATAAGTGGTTTGTGTAACTGGTGTGTTCTAGCACATAGGTCACACTGCTGTCTAGTTAGACACTTAAGCATCATCTTAGAAACGAAGGTACAGATTGGTAATTGTGAAGGTTTCATTTCCCTCCAGATGAGGGAGAGTTTTTATGGGGGCACACTGAGTGGGCTTCCTTTTATTCTGCATCATCTCTTGTAAAAGCAGAATAGTTCTAGCTAATAATTTCATCTTGTATCCTTGAGGTACCTGTGTTGGTACTGAAAACAGCCTTTTCACAAATCACTTTGCTGAAGTCCCTTCAAGCTTATAAAGAATAAAGTGCAGCCTGGTGTCATGGTCACCT